TTTTTTTTTTTTTTTGGTAAAAAATTCAACCATAGTCCCCTAGCCCAGTATAGTATGTGGCTCACATTTAAAAAGCAGATGGAGCAGACCGTTATTCCCAATCCGAATTCACAGATTCAATTACACCCTAAATCTATCTTCTCTACTTTCCCTCTCTCCATTCTCTCTCACACACTGTCACACACATCCCGGCAGCGCAGCCGTCGTCTCTACTCTTCACCAGGTAATTTGTGAGAGCTTGTTCTTGTTTGGTCTATGTTTCGCTCGCTATTATTCTTCCCTCTTTTGGGTTTTTTGTTCTTCTTGTTCTTCCATCGGCTGTCGCGTCGTGGGTTGTGCCTTAAACCCTAGTGCTTGATGTTTTGATGTTTGTTTTTTTTATTTAAATTTTCATGGAAAGAACGTGCGAACTCCAGAAATTAGTTTATGATGTTTGATTTTGTACTGAAGGGAAAGATTTGCCCTCCCGCTCGAACCTTTATTTGAATAAATTCAAATACTTGAATAGTTGTTTCTTGTTTTTCTCCGATGATTTTAACTCATCTTGTATGGTTCCAAATAATGGCGTCTAAATGCTTGGTGTTTGAATGTACAGTTTTTGTGGAATGAAGTGGTTCCAGACATTTTGTGTATTTATCAGTCGAACTTATTTCGGAGGGGAAAAAAATTAGAATCTCAATGCACATTCCTATTTTTCAGGTACCAGCATTGTAGACCAGTAATCTTGAACGCGTGTTGTATTATCAGTGTCAGGACAAGCATGCAAAGTAATAATTTCTTGGCCCTGTGTATATCTTATCAAATTTCTGCCTGTGTTCAATTTATATGGTTTTATATTGTATGTTGATGATGGAAATATGTTAGTTACAAAAGCGGAAGAATAACCCAATCCTGTACAGTAAAATTCAGTGGTATCATAAGTATTGTAGTATTGAAGTCTATTTTAACGTTGAACTGGTATGTACTGCTCTTCTTCCTTTTTCTTTGAACAGAACTAATTAGACCCGTTTTATCCACAAGTATGATATACAATTTTGTAAACTTCAAGATGCATGAAATTTTATAGAATGAACTCCACTTCGTGAGTTTTAAAATGGGGAAGTATCTTACCCTTCGGTTGTAGAAAAAAATTGTAAATGTTCAGTTGTTTGTGTTCTGCGTCTCATTAACATCAAGGCTGCTTGTTTCCAGGAATAAGTTTATTTTTCTAGTTACCACTGTGATCAAGACCATGCCTGCTATGAAGAAGGTTTGTATATTGGCTAGTTACTGCTTTCGATCAGTGATCTACTTCATGAACTTTTTCTTGTGCAGTTTTTAAATTTTGGTGTATCTGTGTCTTTGATTGTAATCAGAATGCTGAATACATTGGGGTTGGGCAGATATTCAGTAAATTAGTGAAGGAGATTGGAAGTCCTGTTGATTTTGAACTTCCAGAATCATATAACAAATGGAAATCTACTTTCTCCTTCATCAAACGCAGTATCCTTAGTGATTGATTATTTTTTTTTTCTTGCATGACACTAATCTTGTAGGCTGTGTGCCTTTTCATATTGCAGCAAATTTCTCTCTTCCGCTGATTAATGAAAATTTTTATGTTTTGTTTTTATTTCATCTTAACTACATCAAGATGTGTATCTAACGAAGAAGGTTAAAAAGCGCTCGAAGGATAATGATAGCTCTTGTTCCTGCAGCTCATCAAATGGATCTTTGGGTGTTTGTGGTAGAGATTGCCTCTGCAGGTAAGGATGCTGAGGGATGAGTTTTTATTCCTTAAAAATATGAAATCTGCTTATTGTAATAGCTATTTGAATTAGAAATTGAGTCTGAGAATATAACGAGTACTTTCTTATCTATTTCATATCATCCAAAATTTTACATTGCACGTTAAGTTTCATGCCTCCTCTCCTGAAAGTATCTCCATTATTATGTTATTAATTACACGATTGTATATTAGACCTCTGTTTGTTTTTATTCCATGATCTACCAGCATCTGCTGTTTTAATTGAGGTGTGAATTGATTATCTGATGTTTCGAAGTGAAAAAGGAAAAAAAAAATATAGTTGGAAGGATATATTCATTGACTTGTTCTTTGTGTGAATTTATGGTTCTACATCAGACTTGATATGTGATTGTTATAGAATGTTCTATTTCTTTCACCATTATTTTGCTTTGTTCCTGTAACAGTATGCTGTATACATGCTGTTCCTCTAGCTGTAATTGTGGGACCTCGTGTCTGAATAAGCCATTTCAGCAAAGGGTTTCTAAGAAGCTGAAAGTTGTTCAGGTAATGCTTCTCTTTTGCTATCTAAATGATAAATTAGCATTCATGGTAGATGTTATACTATGCTAGGTTATTTGTTGCCTTTCTCGCATTAATTTCTCCAGTGGCTTATGGAACTGAACTGTAGTTGCTAATGAATTGGCATACATGTTTGTCGGATAGAATCATTCATCATCTTGTACCCTTTGACGTAGTTTAGTGCTTAATATGCTATTCTTGTGTAGCTTGATCTAGGCGAACTATTCGATAATAATCAGTTTTATGTTGCTGTCCAATTCAATAGTTACATCAATATAAGTTTTGTGTTATATTTGAATTATTAAACTTTTAAAGGGATATTTGTTCTTAGATGTTGGTTGACATTTTGGTTGAAAATATATAAGCTCACAGCATGTAATTTTAGTCTATGAACACAGAAATCTGTACTGGAGTTTCCAAATTTAAATATATGGAATTCAGCCTGTCATCGTGCCATCTATACCTAGCAGTCATCAATTTAGCTTTGACCTGTTAAGCTGTCAAATAAGTCAAAATGCCTTATTTCAGACTGAGAAATGTGGAATGGGTGTTGTGGCAGCAGAAAACATCAGTAAAGGAGATTTTGTGATAGAATATGTTGGAGAAGGTAAAGAACGTTGATCAATTCATATATTTCGGCATGCAGAGCTTCATATCATCTGAATGTGAACATAATGTCACTCTTTGCAGTAATTGATGATAAAACATGCGAAGAAAGGCTCTGGAAAATGAAGGGCCGGGGGGAAACAAACTTTTATCTATGTGAAATAAATAGGGACATGGTGATTGATGCCACTTACAAAGGAAACAAGTCAAGATACATTAATCACAGTTGCTGTCCAAATACCGAGATGCTCAAATGGTTAAGCCCGATTATTATTGTTATTATTAATATATTTAGAATGTATGTGTGTGTGTGAAATTAAACAAAACTTGGTTTTAACTTTCCCAGCATCTCACGATTTCAGGACAATTGATGATGAAACAAGGATTGGGATATTTGCAACCCGAAATATTAAAAAGGGCGAGCATCTGACCTATGATTATCAGTATGATTTGTGCCTGCTAGTTTCCCCTTACTTGAGTTGATGAGTTCTTTCTCTCATGAACTGATTATTATCCCATTCATCCCTCCAAGATAGGCTCGCTTACTTTTTCACAGTTTAAGAAAGCATCCATAATTATTGAAATTACTGAATATTTTCCTAATATTTATTTATTTTTTTTTGATATCCAAGCAGATCAAATAATGGCAAAAGATGATCTTAATAATTCAACTAGTCTATTTAAAGAAACATGTCTGTTGTGGGAAAACCAAAATATTAGTTGTGACAATCTTTGAGGGATGGTAGGAGTGTTATTGCTATTATTACACTCTAACAACTTCCGCAGGTTTGTGCAATTTGGTGCAGATCAAGATTGCCATTGTGGTGCTGCAGGTTGCCGGAAGAAGCTGGGTGTAAATAAATCCATTAAACAGAACACACCTTCTTCAGATGCTGCATTTAAAATAGTGGCGCACCAAGTGGCTATGAACTTCCAGAAAACGGAAGTTGTCTTATCAAACACAGCAGTAAGCTCTATTTACTCTTTGGCTGACTGGTGAGCGGCATCTAATTGGAATTTAATGGAAATGGCAATTAATTGTTTGCACTGTCATCGTCGTTTTTACTTTGTTGAGACCTCAAGTTCAAATTCAAGTGCGGCAATCCATTGATGGATTTAGGGATCAAGTTCAACTATGATAGTTCCAATTATGTAAATTTAGATTTTGCAATATGTGAGTCTTTGGAGTTGTGCTGTTTTTCTTTTCACAGTGGGGATGTGAAGTCTGTGGCGTCTTTTGCTATAATTTAGTATTTGTATCAATTGCATATATTCCCTACTTTAATCCGTGTTTTATTTGGATTTGGACATTTTGCAAACTGCGGACTAAGTAGCTTTATTTCTTTGAAAGGTCCGCATAAATGGAGTTCCAGGTGTAGGTATACTGTTTCACTTCTCTCAACAGCTTAGTTTCTTCATTTTATTCTATTCTTATCTTGGCAAGAACACACATGATTTCTATTAGTCACAATTCCTTATGTTGGTTGCGATTTATTTCTCTACAGAAGGTCCTGGCCACGATCCTTCTCAGCATAAAAGAAGGCGCAATTGCGTAGGTTCAGTTATAAGAATTCATAATTTTTCTGATACAAGGTACGACTGGATATTTTATATTCTATGCAGTAGTAAACGGATAATATCTCTGCTTTTTCATATTTTGATGCTTTTAGTTTTAGATTAGCATAATTGGAAAATTGGTAACGGTTCGATTGTTGGTTTATTAATATCTATAGTTACTTGTTTGTATACATCCATTCTTTGTATCTTTGAAAGTTCAGAATCCTACACTAATCAACCATGTCCTGAACTTGATAGATAAAAGATTAACTACGAAAGTTTATTTCAAGGCGTTCAGCACGATTGAAAAACCAAAAAAAAAA